ATATATATATATATATATAAAAGAGTTATAACAACACCGGTGTAACTTTTACTAAATATTATATCGCTCAATAACTTTTAATACAAAATTTTATAAAATTTACATTTTAAATAAAGTTATTGAGTAGTGTAATACTTAGTAAAAATTACAATATCATTTGTGTAACAGCCCGATTTTTACAGATTGTATGAAAGCCCAAAAGCCCAATATGGGTGATTTAGTAGCCCAGAACGGGCCGTTCCCAAATTGGAATGGGCCGTTCCAAACCACCAAAATGGCCTATAACCCTAGTTGGGAATGGACCGTTCCAAACATGGCCGTTATAGGTTAAAATGTAACCCCAGAACGGACCGTTCTGGTTTTAGAACGGGCCGTTCTGGATGTGAAATTTTACACATGCCGAATGAGTCCAGAACGGGCCGTTCTGGATTTGAAACGAGTTGTTCCAGCGACGCCTGATGCCTATAAATAGAGCGCTCTGGCACTCCCAAAAAGCACACTTTTCTCTTCTGACTTCTTTTCTTCTACATTCTCTTCTTTTTATTCTATACTCTCTGAAGACCAAGGGGAACCCAGCGGAGAAGACCAACCAGATCCTGCTTAGTTTCAACTACTGCTTATCAAGGTACGGGGGAAAAAGGGAGATTTATGTGTAGAGTCACATGAGGGAATGGGTGGAGAAGAGTTCCTGTGAAAATTTTAATAATTTTGTAATTTTTTCTGTTTGGAGAATTATTGGTATTATGAGATTCTGTATGTGTTAAGGATTATGAATATATAATGAATTTGTAAAAATGATGATCTGGGAGAGAGAACGAAATTGTAGAAAAGTGCCTGTAAGTTAGGTTTTGGGAAAAATTGGGGGTTTTACTATTTGAGTTAAGATTCTATTAAATTGGTGATTCAATTGATTGTTATATTAATTTATAAATATTATTGTTATATTATATGGTAAAACTTGATGATCTAGATGTGGATTCATAATGAATTGCTTGAGGGATATGTAAACTACTATTTTGTATGGAATTATCTATATTGTGTATGTGATGCAGAATTGACTTATGAACTGTGGTGTGATATCTTGGCACAAATGTGTACATATTGTAATCTACCATTTTATTATTGAATTGATAACATGATGTGGCGAATAGTATGTTATGGCTTAATTGTTCAATTAATTATGATGTGAGATGTTGTATTGAATGTGAATGTGATGTGTTTGTGGTTCCTCACACTAATGACTAGGGTTGACACGACCCTTGGGTAAGTGATTCTACAAGGACAGTGTGACCTTGGCATAGTGTGGGATGAGTGAGGCAATTAACACGTATCACTTATGTCAGATGTGGCGTGACCTTGACATATGGTTAATTGTAAGATTTGTGTGGATTATGAATGTGATTATGGTTCCTCACACTAATGACCAGGGATGGCACAACCCTTAAGTAAGTGATGCTACAAGGATGACGTGACCTTGGCATAGTGTGGGATGAGTGAGGCAATTAACCCGTATCACTTATGTCAGTTGTGGCGTGGCCTGGGCATATTGTTAATTATAAGATTTGTGTGGATTATGAATGTGAAAATGATAGTGTTAATTGTAAGATTTGTGATGGATTTGTGTGATTGCGAATTATGACGTGAATATGATGCATGATTGATAGAGTTATAATATATAGAAATGCTTGTAAATATTTTATTATGTAATGAGTTATGATGAAATTATGTTGTGTTTTTGCTTATGTGCTTTACATATAGATGTTTTCTTTTCTCACCGTACAATTTGTGGATATTTTAGGTGAGGAAGATCCGGCTATGAGTGACATCTAGAATGTCAACGATTGAATTATGGGTATGCTCTAATATTGTGACATCGGGGCAGAGGATTTTTAGGACATGGATTTTATTTGTATATGTAGTTGTACTTATTATTTTTGAAAACATTTTGTAACCTCTTATGTTTTATTTTCCAAGTTTCATTTTCAAAATATTTTGGATATTGAAGAATTTTTTAAAGGTTTTTATGTGAACCCTTTTACCGATGTTGATAAATTTATTTCCTTAGTTTATTTACATTATTACAATATATGTGTTGGGGTAGTAAGGGTGTTACAGTTTGAACCTATAACTCTTCTATATATACACACACCCACACACATATACATATACATACATATATATATATATATATATATAAGGAGGGATTAAATGACTTCAAGAGTAACTCTTGATAAAGTTGTTTCATCCAATAATTCATAATGTATGTTGAATTTCAACAAGTCCGTTGAAAACTTGATTTATGGATTACAAATTTTTTATTTTAAGGGTTGAATCATTGAAATTTAACATACATCAAGAGTTATTGAATAGAGTAATTTTACTAAGAGTTTCTTGTGTTTGTTGGCTATTTTAAAAGAAAAAAGAGATCCCAGAAATATAGTTTTCTAAAAATCATTTTTATCCCATTTTCCTACAAAATCATTTCTATGGGAGGTGGAAATCAAACTTTCTCGAGTTAGGAGAAAAATTTAATGGATATAAAAAGATCACACTAATATCCTTTTTTAGAATAGAAAATCTCTCTCTTTTTCTCTCTCTATCTTTCACTCTCACTCCTTCTCTCTTTCTCCCTCTCCCTCTCCCTCTCTCTATCTTTCTTTCTCTTTATATTTCTCTTTCTACTTCTCTCTTCCTGTCTTTCTCACTCCCCCTCTCTCCCTCTCCCTCCCATAACTTTATTTCGCTCTCTCCCTTTCTTGTATTTCATTATTTCTTGTATATATATTTCATTATTTCTTAACCTTGTCAATTTTAATAATATTATTAAAATTTATTTTGTTTATATAGTTTAATGCTATTTGTTAAAATTTTTTAATTAATTAATTAATTTATTTGAATGCAATGAAATATATATTTTTATCCTTGTTAATAATATGTAGTATTTTTCTTTGTTTATTTTTTTTTGTTGAACTCTGTGTATAAATAATTTTAACTATAAGTTTTCAACTTTTTAAAAATAGTTTAATGTTATATTTGTAATAAGATATGAATAAATAAATATATATAATAAGTTTATTTGAATAAAGAATATTTTATAAAAAATATTTATATTTACAGGAATATAGTAATATAACCAAACATGAAAATCTTTAATTCTTAAGAACCCTATATGAATATTGTCAAGAACCTTTATAAGTAACCAAGGATTTGTAATTCCATGTATGAAAAAACTTCTCTCTTACCAATGTCCCCTTCGTGTCACACACATTTAACTATTCACATAAATTATGATTCTCGAGATTTGTAATTTTCATATATGAAAAAAAACTTACTTCTTACCAAATGAACACAACTTATTAAAATAAATTGATAATAAAACCAAATTCTTAAAAAAAAAGACGTAAGAACAAAATTTTCCTAATTAAATAAAATAAAAATAAAGAAACTTTAACTTTGTAGGCAACATAATTTTCCAAGCTTCTCTTTCCTTTCCCCGTTGGAAGGAGTAATTGCATTCATAAAATTCAGTTTGCAAACTGAAATAGGAGGAAATAATTGTTAGTTAAATATAATAAAAGGTAAAAGCTAAGACGCTGCCAATAGAGGTGGGAGTTGATCCCAACTCACAATCATGTGCCATCACTAGAATAGTGTCCCCATATATTGTATCTGTAATTTTCAGCTTTTTCTTAAGTGTATCCCTTTTTATTAAGGACCCTTTTTTCTTTTTTTACATAGTTTATTCGGTATTAAAAACTAATTAAATATTAATTTATATCGGTTGAAACATATAGTTTTAATTTTGACTAAAAAAACATTATTTTAAAAATAAAAATTAAATTTAAGAACACAACTTTGTATTTTAAGACAAATCTTATTATTGCTAAAGCAAGATATTTGATTCTTTAGCTTAATTATTTTTGAGCACCGGATCAACCCAGTATCCCGAATACTTTAACTATTTTGTTTAATATAATCATATATTTAAAATAATAAATATATTTTATCATAAAAAAATTTCAAATAGTGAAGGGTGCCCTCCCCTTGAATCCGTCCCTGCACCCATGCACTTTCATTATAAAGGTACCATCCTTCTCATCTACAAAACCAACAAAACTCTCTCTCTCTCTTTCTATCTCTCTCTCTCTCTCTCCATCTTTCTGTTTTATAATCACATTCACAACTGTGAGCATTACTACCTAAAGCTGCATGGCAATGCTTAAAGTGCCTACTCTTCTTTACCTTTTGCTCCTATGTCTCACATCAGGTATGTCCTAAATTTTGCTCCAACCTCTTTAATTTGTTTTGACTCATCCTATAATATTTGGACACAAGTTACATTGAGAACACTATATAGGGTGGCTAAGTTCTATAGACTCTTAAGAAAAAGACAGAAAAGAAAACCAACAATTTGTTGTTGTTGTTGATGGTAAGCAAAGAGAAATCCTTTACATTGGTTTATAAAATTACTAGGTTATTATGGGAATGAGCAAACAATGGTGTTGTCATCAATATTTGCTTCACATTTAACCATGCATTTGGATTTCGGCTTACATAGTCAATTCTATTTGCCATTGTTTTCATTTCGATGGTTTTCTCTGCCTAGCTTTCAAATATATGCTGAGTTTTCTTACTTCAAGAGGATTCAATAGCTAATATTGGAATATATAGAGATGAAAATATTGGAATATATAGAGATGAAGTTAACTCTTGATAGAAATATCTATTTAATAATTAATGATATATTTTAATTATTAAATTAAAAATTCTTATTTAATAGATTTTTTTTAATATTTTGAAAATTATTTGATTCTTTTTTACATAAATTAAAATTATTGTATAAAATTTTTAATTTAATAATTAGATCATTAAAATTTAATATAATGAACTTGATCTTCCGCTCTATCGAAATGTATCAACAAGTCATTGGTTTAAAATAGAATTAGATTCAATTTTCTTATGCAAGATCTTAAGTTTGAATTTTGATAAAAAAAATTGAAAAAAAAAGACTCTATTAAAGATAATTAATCAAATTTCTTGATATAAATTAATAATTAGCAAAGTCTCAAGATAACTTTGTTTTAACAATTGCCCGGTGTTAATTAGTATATAAGCTTGGTCTTAAAAATATTTTATTTTATTTTTATTAATAATTACTAAACATCACATTATTTTAAATTTTCTCACTGTTATTAAGGACCTTTACAGGAAATAAGGGAACAATATTTGTTACCTTTAATGTAGAAAAATTTTAAAATATAAAACTAGACAACATTTTATTAATTATTAAAATAAAATAACAAAAAAAGAAATCCAAATCCCCCTTACTCTCTTCTTGGTTCACCAATTTCTTTATGGCAATATTGTAAGTAGAAGAGCTCTTATTTAAATGCAATGGTACATTTCCTCAAATAATTTCTTTTTCATTTAACAAATGCAGGAAACAATCTCTTCATGGCTAATGGCCAGGTAAACTATATATATAATCAATCAAATTCTACAAATTGATATTTAATTTGGTTAGTATTTTCTTTAATTCCTAACTGATATTGGAATGTTTATTGAATGAAATGAAAGAGAACTTGGTGTGTAGCTAAGCCTTCATCAGATGATGCAACCCTTTTGGCTAACATCAATTATGCCTGTTCTCAAGTGGATTGCCAGATCCTGCAGAGAAGCAGCCCTTGCTTTGCTCCTAACAATCTCTTGAACCATGCCTCCATAGCAATGAATCTCTATTACCAATCTAAGGGAAAAAACCATTGGAATTGTGATTTCAAAGGCTCTGCCCTTGTTGTGGTCACTGATCCTAGTAAGTCTTTTCCAACACATCCAGTCTGTTTGAAACTTTTTTAATCACTTAAAAAAAAATTAAATAAGTTTTTCAGAAATTGAAATTAACTTATATATACATTATTTGTAGAAATTTTATTCTATTAACTTCTTCAAAATATTAATTTTAATTTTTGCATAAGATAATTTTAGTTAAAAAAAATTATTTTGAATTTTCTTTTAAATTTTTCTTCCTAAAAGTATTTCCAGATAAGCTTATCAAACATGTCATAATCTATTCTATTTATCATGAGATTCTGCTAAGTGGATTTTTTTGCCAATATACATTGCAGGTTATGGTAACTGCACTTTCGCATAGATATCGATAATGGAAGCGATTGTTATGCTTTGAGGCAATATTTAGGTCTGCGTTTGGTACTGTTTCTGTAATCCTCTGGTTATGGACTTTATGAAGGCTGTTCCCAATTTGTGGCCATGTATTATGCTGTATTAAATTAAATCAAATTTTACCCTTGCGAATGTTTTTATCAGTTTAATTTTTTTTATATTGCATTGAAATTTTATAATTTTTGAACAAGATAAAACTTTAGACTTATTAGCCCACATAGAAACTTTGATTTGTTTAGAAATTCAGTAAAAAAGGTTTAAATATGTTTATATTTCCTCAAATTTGAAGTGTGTTTACTTTTCATTCTCCAAATTTAAAATTATTTATTTTGGTGCTTATAAATTTTAAAAAAGTTCAATTTAATCTGTTAAAATCACGCACAATATCATCAATAGAGGTCAATTGAGTAAGTTGGGTAATATCAATTGAGATTTAATGTGTTGTTTTAACTAATTAACAAATTTTTAATAAGTGAGATTTGTATTAAATATTTAATATTATGTGAGTTTTGTATGACAAGTTCATTAACGATATATAATAAAGTTATCAAATTAAGCTTGGTCCGATGGGATGGGTGTGTCTGACCAGCTCGTTAATAAGATTAGTTAAGTCATAATAAAGATGAACTCATGATATATACTCCTTTTTTTTATAAGTACACCTTGGAGGTTTACATATAAAAAAAAGTATATATATATATATATCATGAGCTTACAGATGACTTAAATAAAATTAGAACATTTTGACTTAACTCGCATAACTCGATAAGCCAAATAAGTTTAGGAGAGATCGATCCGATAGAAAATAAAATAAAAATTAATAATTTAATATTAATAATAATTGTTAAAAAAAATATGATATAATGAAATAGAAGTTTTTAGAATTGTAATATTCTTTTTTCCTCCTGCCATCTTTGAAAAATTTTATAGAAGAAAAATAAGTAAAATAAATTAAATTTAACTCTTATCCAATAAATATTTTTCTTTTTATTTTTTACTTATCTAATAAATATTTTTCTTTGTATTTCTTTTAAAAATATCATGCTTTCAAACTCAAAAAGACTCTATGGTCTAAAGTAAGCTTCTATAGAGATATGAGAGATTACGCAACTTCTTAATAAAAAAATGACTCTGTGAGAGGTAAAGTTGACACAACTCTTTTTAGAAAACTGTTTGGTTTGAATTTTATAGTAGCTCAAATTTATGTCAATGATATTACCTTTCGTGCTACTAATGAGGAAGTTCACCTTTATTCTATGACCGAATAGGCTAACTAATGCTCATGCCCACGTGCCTAATCAATATTTCAATTTGCTACAATCTAAATTAATGCCTTAATTAAGTTTTGCTAAATAATTTGTATTCTATGATGTTTTGGTTGATTATGGAAAAGGGAAAGTGGTTGCTACTACAAATGTAGTAACTCCTTAGTTTTCTCCTCTCTAGTGTTTGGTCGTGGCAACACTAGATCCTGAGAAGCGTGACAGAGATAAAAATCATGCCTCTTGAGGTCATTGGCATGAAGTAGCCTATCCCTTTCTTTTTATGCTAGTGTGATGTCATGGACGTCATCATTTCTAATCATGACCTCTTTCCATATCAGTGATGCAACTATAGATGTTGCAAGTATTAATTGTGATAGTTTTTATTCTAATATATTCAATTACAACTTCATAACATTATGTTTATTTTCAAAATTTAAGGTGTCTTCATTGCATCTCTGTCAAGATGCATAATGCTTTTATTATGAATTCATTTATCCGATTGCCATCCAATGTGTAGGG